TTGTACGTCAAGGTAATTATCTACCATATCCAATGACATCGTAGAGAGAGAAATCGTAAGAAAAGACGACGCTCAAAAAAAATAGAGAGAAAAAGGAGGAATAGTTTGGGTAAGGTAATCTCTGTGGTGCTTGAATGAAGAGAAGGGAAAGGACTGTTCAATTTATAGTTTTTATTAGTCGGTTATTCAAATCCAAGGCAAAGTCGAATAAGGACTTAAGGTGACATAAGGAGTTCTTAAAAGTGCTTTAGCAGTAATATAAGTATTTAAAAATATAAAGTAAACTCTTTTACTGTAAAAATTGTAAAATAAAAACTATTAGATAAAGAAGACTCGTCATTCATTTAAGATTTTATGTCTTGTAGTTTGATATTTTTCCTTAGAGTTTTAAAAAATTTGTAGGATTACACTAAATTGTAAAATAAAAATTATTGGATTAGGTTATATCATAAGTCTCATTATCATCTAATAGTTTAAATTGTATAGTTTAATATAATCTAAATTACATAATATTTTTTTTAAAAAAAAACAAAATTTTACTTCTTTTGTTTTGTTTTTTTTTTTTTAAGTTGTTCTAGTGCTTTAATTTTATAATAACAAATGATTCAAAATTGAATTTTTTTATTTAATTAAAAATTTCAACAAAAACTATGTATTTAAAGAAAAACAATTTTAATTATCATTTATTTGCTAAAAAAAGTTATCAAGTCATTTTACAAGAAAGTTAAAATAAGACAATTAAAACAGATAAGAGGCAATAATATTTTATGATAACATGAGTATTTAGATTTTTTACCTAATTAATCACATGAACACGTATTTCGATTTTTTGCCTAATTAATTGCATGAACACTTGCAAACTGACTTGTCTGTAAGCACTAGGAAAGTCTTCACGTTCCAAGTGTGGTAGAAGTCGGTCGTTGGAATTGTTTGTTCGTAATTTTTTTGGTATCTAATGATTGGTTATTGGTTATATATATAAGAAGAAATATTCTTTTTTATTTATTTATTATTTTTTTTTTGCTAGTTATGGTCAAGGTGTCCCTGAGTTAATTTTCATGTACTTTAAAATTATTTTCTTAGGTGATGTGTACACTCCCTGTTAACTTGATATATTCAAGAAAATTAATTTTTTTAAATATTAACCCATAAAACTTGAGTCTTGAATCTGATTTACAAGGCAATGCTTATTTATTAGTAAATCCAACTCTTGAGATTAAGAAATAACCCTTTTCCCTTTTTGGAAAATTGTCCCATCTAATTCAATATTTTGAACTTACAATTCTCAAATTAAAGCATGAGGTTCTTAACCGACTGAGTTACTGCCTTAGGGCCGTTGGTAAACATATACACAATTGATGGTGAAAATTTTGTGGTCATCTCGTGTTTGGTATGCATTTAGTGCTCAGAAAGAGCTAGGGGTGGCAAAAATGCCCGATACTCATAGGTACTGCAATAATTCCCACCAAGGGGGTAGGGCAACGATGAGGAAGATTTTTACCTTCCAAATTTTAGCAGAGATCTTTTCTTGTCTGACAAGAGTCTCCAATCCTTGCAAAAAAATATACTATAATACTCCTTTTGTCCAATAATAATAGATTTTTTAATTTTTATTTTAAAATTAAAAATTTGGAGACAAATTATATTTTTATGGAAAAAAAAAATTTAGATATCTTAACAGTAAAAATATCAGAACATTCAATAATAATCACATAAAAGTTAGGGCTTACATTGTGAAGTCGACTTCCAAACATCTGATGCAATCCTCACATTAGAATAAATCAATAGATTGGAAGAAATGTTGGCAGCCATTGGTCCCGTATGTGCTTTTATATGACAAGCTTTACAAAGACGAAGCCCTACTAAAGTTAAGCTGTTAGATAGAGGCGTATTGAGGGAGGAATCCCAAGTTATTCTCCTGCAATGAGGGTGGGGATCATTTGCTATTAAATTGCTTGATTGCGTGGAGACGATGGTCAAAATGCTCAAGGTGGTGGGGTTTTTCCTATGCTATGCATGGTAATTTAGAGCAAGCTTTTCAACAACATTTTTGGACCAATATGAGGAAGGGCAATGGTGGGTGGGAGGTTGTATGGTTTGCTATTGTATAGACTTTATGGTTGTATAGGAACGAATTGTTATTCAAGGCAATTGATGCTGATTAGGAGAAATTATTCACATTAGTTCAAACATGATCTTATCCCTGGCCAAGAAGAAGAGCAGGACAGGTGGATTTTTCATTCTGGGACTGGGCTTCTTCTCCAAGGGAATGCGCCAAGAAGATCAAAAAGGGGTAAGGAAATGAAAGTGATAGGTGGGTAGTCTGGGTATACTTGTATTGGAGTGACAATTATTTGGCTCCATAGATTGTAAGAGAAGGAACAAATCAAAAATGTATATGGATTAGGAGTACCCTTTTGCTATT